TACTTCAAGCTATACACACCAGGACTGTGTTTTAGCTTGCCATCTCGCAACTTAGTTGCATTTCACAGACTTCCAAACTACTATTTTCTTTTTCCTATGTGGTTCTAGCACAACTCGTGCTCCTGCTTCTCTAGCAGGTTAGAAGAGCTGTGCTACTGAATGAATTCCTTTTGTCCTGTGTCACTTCGCAAGTGGTGCTGGATGCGTGGGTTTAAAGGCTATGGGTTACAGTTTTATGGAGGGAGTGGAGAGATGAGTCAGGATCTGTATCTTGTTTTAAAGCTAAGGTCTAAGGGCAGATACAGGCTTGTGAATGCTGTTTCCAAGTGTTACTGTTAAGAATGCTGGACTTAAATGGGAAGTAAATAAAGTTGATTGCTTCCAATAGTGCAGTACTATATCTCAACAACATCAGAGCTCTGAATCATCAGGGATGATTCTTCTGGCAGGCTCCTTTGAGGCCAAAATTAGGATTGGAAAACTAGGGGTGTGCATTCGGAGTGGGAAGGAAAGGAACTTCATGTTTTGCTGGGATGCCCAAAGCAGCGAAATACTTGTAGCCTGTTAGCGGCACACAGTGAAGCTGTAGAAAGGGAAGATCCATCAGCATGATCTTTGAAAGAACTGTAGCAAAATGACATCTAGCTTGAAACTAGATTTGAGTTGGACATTTTTGGTCAAACAGAAGACTATCGCAAGACCACTTGGTCTTGTGGGGAGGTGAATCAGTTATACCTAGAGGCAGAGCGCTGGAGTTGTATCTCGCCTGGTGACTCTCCTACCTGCTGGTGTTCGTGGCTGCTGCTGTTCAAAGCACTTCAGCTTTCTTTGAGTGGCTGGTGTGCTAATATGGCAGCCCAGTTTCTAGTCTGGTGTTGGATGAAATTTAAGATCAAGCTTGAAGTAATTGTCTCTGGTATTTTCCAGTAACTTCCTTTAAAATTTGGAACTCTGTCATCCTCTTGGGCTGGCATATAGCTAGCTTGAAAAGTGGAAAAAAGTTTTGTGTTCAGATTTTTATGGTGATGGTGGTGGCGAAGACAGAACCCCAAAGTAAACAAAAAAAAAATCCCATTAAAATACCAAGTTCCACCTATCCCCTTCTGAGACTTAATTCTAACTGCATTTTGACTTCACCAATATATCTTGAACAGCAACAAAAAAAGTGATTCAAAAAGCAAAAGCAGAGTGGAAACGAGCAATTGTATTACTAGAACATCACGTTAATGGCACCCGTGGAAATGATTAACATCTTTGAATTACTGTACCATCAGTACGGTGAAACTCTTGCACAGAGCACTGTGGGCACAGGCAGGAATAGTTGAAGCCATGTTGATAAATAAGGAAGAAAACTGCTGCTTGTAGCTGTTACTACAGATGTTGTAGTTGTGCGATCGTGAGAGCCCGTAGGTTTTTGGGTAGTGTAATCCTAACGTTAGGAGTAGATGTCTCGGTATGTGCCAGTAATGGCTTCTCATTCGGTGGTGCTTCGCTTACTTTTCAAGCTCTTCAGTGCACCTACTGAAATGTTTTTGAGTGTTGTTTGAGAGTGCTAATGTGCATCCCAGTGTGGTTATCGAAAACTAGCAGGGGAAAAAAAAAACTTGCAATTTTCCACTGGGCTTTTGTAAACCAGAGCTTAATTCAATGAACTAATTTAATACTCATATCCCACAGGTCCTTTCAACAGAAAGCATTATTCAGTTCTGAAGGGTAGGCTTCTTTTTAAGGAATTTTGAAGTTTTCAAATGGATTTCGAGATTCTATACCAGAATGCTATTGACTTTTCAGTCCGTCTCAATGGATGACTTTTCCTGGGATCAGTGAAACTCATGAATATTCTAAGCAGCAACAAATATATCAAATCTGGTGTGCTTCCTGCAATGCAGTGAATGCACTTGTAAGCATTCACAGATGCTGTTCCTTAACAGGGCTTTTGTAAGGCCTGACTGTTGTCAACAACACATCAGATGTGATACTGTTAGCTGCCAAAACAATGTTTTAAAAGTGTTCTTCCATCTTCAGCAGAGCTTATTTGTAAACCTCCTATTAATTTCTCTTAGATTAGAATTCCTGTGTGAGGGTTATTCTGACACAATATAAAGTTTGACCAGCTTTTTGCCTTCACAAGAAACAGACTTCAATGAATATCTACTCAACAAAAGTAAAATTATATCTTCACTTGTTTCACTTTTTATGAATTCACAAGCCTTTCCTTAATTCAGTATACCAAAGAATATTAAAAAACCCACCAAGATTCATTATGGTGGGGATTACATTCTGGATGGTTTGTTTTAATGTTATTTTTGTTAAAAAAATCAACTCTTGTGAGAGCCATGAGCATGCCTAAATCTTTTGTACAGAAATATTAATTAAAGCCTTCTGTGTGTTTACACATTTTTCCTTTTTAAATCTGCCAGCTTCCTGGTTAATCATAAACCAGCTTTGATACAGTGGCAGATCGCTGTCAATGTTAAAGGCGTACATCTTTCCAGCTTCCACAAGTGCTAGAAGCAATGGAACTGTGAACTGCCAGGTAATCCTGGTGGTATTCCATAGCATGGGCAGAGAGCAGGTGGCTGTCACTATCCATGAAGTCGGGATGGAAGAGCTATTTCGTATTTCAAGAATGGTACTCCAGAATGTATCTTCCTGCATACCTGCTTTTTTGGGGGGCGGGGGGAAGGGAACCTCCTCCAATTAAGTTTCAAATATAGCCTCTGCAGTAGTTGCAGGTTTAAGGGCAAGGCTGCAGTGTAGTATTTGGTGACATGTTGGCCTTTAGAATACTTTGTCTTGTTTTCTTGATGAGTCTTTGAATACTCCTCCTTCCCTCTTGAAGGCAAGGTAAAGCACTGGGAAAGGTATCCTCTACTTGTGAAATGAGCCTTTGTCATTTACATAAGCATGCTTTTTGCATCTCTTTTCTTCAGTGAAATGAACAGGTCCATCCATAAATGGTCTGCAGTCCTGGGATTGACTGAGGACAGTGGTTTTTAAAGACGTTGGTACCATGGCTTGGCTTTTTCATCAGCCCTTCCTTCCAGGCCATGTGTCAGAAACCACTAGTTTGATGTTCTGGGTGCTTACTTTCCTTCCGCAGGGATGCACTGAGGTATTGCAAGTTTCCCTGATGGGGACAGAGTTATGGGATGCATGGGTCACAACCAATGCTTACTAGAACTCCTTGTATTAATTAAGGTATTATTAACAGCAACAGCTTGATTCCCATTAGTGGCAGGTAACCATTCATACAGTGCAAGGACTTACTCCCAAACATGCTTACGCACTTACTGGGTTGGAACAGCGGCTGGGAGACCTCTGTAGAGGTGGAGGGGTGTACTGATGCACCAACAGCTTCTATGTGGGCGTTCAAAAAGAAAATCTCTCAAGGCACACTCTCTTTCATCAGGTGTGTACATAATCCCATATGCCCTGCCTGCCTATAGCAGCTGCTGCTTTCTTGAATGCAGTCTTCTGGTTTTTTTAACAAGCTGTTGTTGATGGTAGTGTGTGCCGGTGGCCTCGGACAGACTGAGCAGAGTCTCGGTGTGCTGAGTTTCTTGCTTCTCCTCGGTTCCCCAGGACCGCTGGTCTTGAGCTTAGCGGTTCTTGGGAGATTTTCACACTTCATCAGCATCTACTTCTAGGCTGCAGCTTGCTGTTTTCTGGTGGCTAGATCTTCAGCTACACACAAGGATCTGTAGGGTCCATTCACGCAGACTTGCACAGAAGGGATTTTTGTGACAGGCATTTGCTTGTTTCCCAAATAACAAAAAACATTCTGGGAACTGAAAAGATAGTTTGTATTTGAAAGCTATACAGTGTCTTACAAACATGAACAGTTCCTAATTGTAAAACTATGCTCCATAGTCAGAGACCCTGACACCGCTGGAATTTAAGAGCGACTGTGCACTTTTCGGACAGACTGCAGTTGTTGAAGCTTGCTACTTCTATCTGGGCAAAGCCAAGAGACAGTTTTCTGTGCACAAATGTGAACGCATTCAATTTGAGAAGGAAATGTATTTTAAAATACAGCAACTGCTATAAGTGAAGAATAAATCTTCCAATAAAAGTGCTCCATATTCTGTTTGCCCAGAGGTCAACTTGTAAGCATCCTGAGCAGTAACCTTACAGGCTACTTAACTTTTAATCCCTCTGTGTTTTTGATAAGTTTCTGGGAAGTAACTTTGCAATATTCGGAATAAATGCACTACTTTCATTTTCAAAGCACTCGTACATAGCATGCTCGGTGGGAGCTTGTGATCGGAGTCTGATTGGAGCACAGCTGTGTATCTGGACAAATGCTTGCTAATATGATCTTGTGATGGTTGGCTTTCTGAGAAGTAATAGAGCAATGCAGCTATCTGCCTGTTTGAGTGTAATTGCTTTAGGCACTGGCAAAGGTTATCTGCTAAACTGAAGCTGTGTGCATGTTCCCTGGTTTTCTGGTCCATGTTGCAAAAGTTGAAGGTGTGAAGATTGCAGAAAATGTTAGCAGAAGTAATAGTTCACAATTTCTTTCTTAAATCTGTAAGGTAAACAGTGATTTCCAGCTGTTTTCTTTTGAGTCTCCAAATAGCTCCATAAGGTATGCTAAAATAAACCCCAAAACAAAAGTCTGAGAGCTGTTGCATGCTGCTAAATTACTTTTAAGAAGGTGTCCCATATTACTAAAAGAGATCTGATATTGCATAAAGTAGCTTAGAATTCAGAGGTAAAACTGCACGTTAAGTACAAGTATTAGCATCAAAGCATCTGTAATGAAAGCCACTCCACTTCAAGTTAATTATGTTAAAGTATGAGAGAAAGCTAAGGTAGCACACTGTGCATTTGCTGAGCAGTAAGTCTCTACAGCAGTGAACTCGGTTTAAAGAAATGCAAGTGGGTACAAATATCATTTGTTTATGTGCTTACAATAAACAGAAAGAAACCCCTTCTCTCTTTTCAGAAACTTTTTCACTAAAAGGACAAAGGAACTCAAACCTGCTGTCCAAAGCGCTCCTGGTTGGAAGTTGTTTGGTAAAGTCCCACCCAGGGAAAACCTTCCGAAAGATTCCAAAATTATTCAGCAGGTGAGTAAACATTGTGCAACTCTAGGTACAAAACTTGTAAAAATTAATGTATAGATATTACAGTTCTCTGCTGTTACTGTGCAACCATGGAGTGCTCTGGGAAGGCTCTTTTGGAGCTTACTAAGTTACTAAGAAGGAATTTGAGTTTTATGATTATATCATACATTCTTCAGTACATCTCAGTGCTTATAAAAAGGTGATACATGTTCAAAAAGTGTTTAAGCTGTTAAGGTGAAAACATAAGAACTTGTATTAATAATTCCTGTAAAATTTTGCCTCCTTTAACATGATATGGTAAAGTGATAGTGAAATACTCTAGGCTTCCTTTATGAAGTTCAGTTCTGAGTTACTTTTGCCTATTTTGTGCAATAAAACCATAATCATACTTGCATATTCAGTTTTTCTTCAAACTAGATATTAATCTAGTAAAATTTATCCTCTTAAAACATTCTTGGATGTTCTAGTGGTACAAAAAATGATTTAGTTTAATTTTTTTTTTTTTAATCTAACTCATCTTTCCATAGTCGTCCTTGCCTGGAAGACTTGCTATCTGGGTAACTTCTGACAAATTGCTTAGAATTCTGAAACATGGGGTCTTGTTTCATTTGGACTTTTAATGTCATTCAAGGTTTTGGTTTTTTTTTTTTTTTCAAAATAGTACTGTAAGTTGAACTTGTTTTGAAGTTACTGGGGTACTACAGAAAGGTAATTCTGATTTCCGTCCCCTGATACCAAGTGGCACTTCCATATGTTCGTTCCTGTGGAATCTGTCTTTAATTTGGTGAAATAATACCAAAATTGTATAGTCCTCAAGGATGAGTAATGAGTAATGTACATTAACGTATTAACTTAATGTTAACATGCAATCCCGAGGCTGAAAGTTTTGCTGACCTAAGAAATGTGAATGTCCCTTGTGTTGGTGCGAACAGTAACTTGAATCTCTCCAGAGCTGCTTTCTCTTTGTCTCCTTTCTCAAATTCCGTATAAGCTGATGTGTTTGGCAGGTGCAAATGGCTGTGAATGAAGCCACCTTCTAGAGAGCGCTTCGTGGCGAAGCGAGCCTTTTGGGAGCAGCTACAGTGAAAAATGAGAGGTTCTTTTTGAAGGACTTCAATGTAATGGGACTTGTCACATAACGAAATGTTGTTGGAAAATGATGAGATTGCAGCAAGTGCTATTTACTCAGACACAAACTGGGTGCTCTTTCAATGTTTTCAAATACAATTTTCCTTATTTAAATGCTTTCCCTTTGGGAGAAAGAGAGAGCGAGCAAGTGTTCTTTCTTAGCTTACTTGCAGATGAATACTGTTGTCCTTGTGCTATGAAAATCCTATGGTAAAAATCCAGATATGTCTTCCATCCTGAGAAACGGAGAGTGTGTACAATGCTACCAGTCATCTGCTTCCTGTTTTCCAGTAATGAAGACATTCATCCCGGAGACCAAGTCATAATCTGCAGAAATAGTCTTATTTTCTTATCCTGCTGTCCTTCAGTGATTGTTTTTCTTTTAAGCTGTAGTATTCCCTTTTTTTTTTAACTGAAGTGGCAGAAAAGCAAATATATTAAAACAATGTATTGTCTTTAAACATGATTGAGTTGGTCCTAGCCTCTAGTCACATGGCTTGTGTTATAATGGTTGCCAGATTAGGGTCACTATTGGATTTATATAATCTTGGGTAGTGTGTCAGTAATAGCTAATATTTTTAGCTTCTAATTTAGCTAAAGCAGCATGATCTTTAAATAAAGCATTATGAGCTAAGATATACAGTTATCAATGGGGGATCCAGATTGATGGTATATTCTGCACAGAGTTAGATCTACAATAACTGAGAAAAATTGATTCTTAAATTGAGAGGTGACCCCTAATGTCTCCATATTTAACATATGTCAAATGTCTTGCATGTGTGTTTACAATTTGCACTATAGGTCCTTGTGCATATGCCTTTGAAGAAAAGCCAGTGGTTTCCTTTCTCAAAAATGTTCAAATTTGCTGTGGATTAGAATGAACATAGGCACACTTGGTTATTGAAGATCAGTAGAAAATAGTATCACTTTTGACTGGCTGACTGAAGTCCCTAAACTAAATTTCTCAATATTACAAGAGATTAGTGAAAAGAATATAGGCAAGAATGCAGCTATGAGGCCTTTAAGAAGTTGATGGAAATATGGTTAAAGCTTAATACCTTCCGTTGACAAGTAGTTCTGTGAACCTGGCAGAATACTTCATATCCTACGTGGAACATCTCTACAGACTTCCACATTAACTTTCTAAATTGAAGTCAAGGGATCAAGTGTGATCTGAAATATAGAACCTGCTTTTCTTTCTCCAATTTTTTAGCCATCTGTGGTCAGAACAGTGGCTACTCACTGTTTACAAACTTTTGTAAAACGAATTTCTGGGTGTAAGATTATGCAGGTAGAATGGGCTTAAGCTGTAGGCAAGCTCCCTGTGAGGGAGTTTATTTTTAGCAACAAGTCTTGCCGTTCCTGAACAGCTATGGCATTCTGTGTGGTGGAACACAAAGTTTCTGATGCCAGTGGCCAGCTTTGGGAGGGTGCAAATAAACCCTTGGTTAAGGAAACTCGGTAATGAGTTGGCATCCTTCAGATGGAAAACGAGATCTTAGGAAGCCCTTTTGCAGCAAAAATTAACTCATGACAGGAAAAGCTTTGCAATTAATAGAAGGAAGAAGTCTTTTGGGTAAGGGCAATACTTATATCAAAGGTTTATGGCAATATTATGAAGCTTAAAGGAGTTTCCTATTAGTAAAACAAGAAAAAAAAATGCATCACAGTAGATTTACAGTGGAAAGGATGGTAGAGCTCACATGCCCTGTTTCCATTCTGGAAGCCTCCTGTGTTATCTTTGTTTTGGTAAGGATGATGTAGTAAATTGATACTACATTTAAATGAATGCTTGTGGCTCCCAGGCACTGTCTATCAAGGAGACATTGCTATGTATGTCTCTGCAGGGAAGTTGGGTAGTGATTCTAATATCTTGAATAACTTCCAAGAAAATCTGGAAACTTAATTTGGGATACTGTTTCAGCCTTTTTTTTCAGACGACGATGCTAGCCAGCTCTGCCTTCAGAGACCGTCTAATGAATATTACTGTAAATAATTTCTTTGCAAGTTTCTTAGCATATGTAGAAGATGATAAATGTTTTTGTCAAAAAGCAACCTGCAGGGCTTGCCTGGCTGGGGAGATGGCAGAGCCCCCTGCAGCCGCGCTGCCATCCGCACGCTCTGGGCGAGATGCTCTCGCTCGAGCTGGGTCAGAGGTGGGAAGTTCTTGGCAGCTGCATCCCTGCTCACAGCTGCTGGCACGCTCGCCTCTCCTTGGATTTAGAGCTGCCCAAGCAGGATGTGATTGAGGCCAACTCTTTTGCTGGACATCTCCCTCCTCTGGGCTTCCTTCCTTCACTGTTTTTTAAAAAGGGAAAATAGCAACTCCTCAGGACTGCAAATGTCCAACGCGTTTGATGGTTTTAGGAAGTGTGCTTTTTTTCATGAACTGCAGCTAATAAAACTGGCTATTATAAGAAGTATGTGGTCATTAATGATCAGTCTGGTATATTCTTTTCGGTCTGTACAGAAATCTGCTTTAAATTAGACTGGCAAAATATTTTAACATAGAAGCATTTAAAGCAGAAACCGACCTGTGGGCTGATGTGTAACATTTTGGTGTATATTGACTGAAGTGCAAGTTCTGCTTAAAAATGCAAGCTCTATTTCATTGTTTTGTGCTTATCGTGAAAGAAAAGAGCTTTTAAGCTACGATCAAAATGATTCTGAATATCAAGTCTTTAAGTTTAGCTCTTGCTTTTTATTAAAGCAGTCTTGAATGCTTTTTATTAATTTGTTTAAAGCAGCATGGTGACTTTTTCCTAATATGCCCGAATTAAAGAAAACTCAGGATATGGAAATACATACTGTGAGATAAAGAAAAATAAAACGTACCCCAAATTCACTTTATAACCAGTTTTAACAAAGTACTGCCAGAGACAGCCTTAAATGGGGGGCGAAGTTTCTTTTCTGTTTAAATCTGACAAACCATGAAAAGCTTGCAGTGGTGTAGAAATGATTGCTTATTCAGAAGTGAAGTAAAGCCCATCTTTTCCAAAACCTGTCACCTTGTGTACAAAATGGAAGGTATTAATTTTAGACAGTCCGTTAAATACTAACTCTGGTTTTGATGACTTGGTCACTGTCCTACAACTAACCTCTGAAAATATTATTTTTGGGTGGCTCTGAAATATTAAAAAAAACCAAACTGTACTTGAGGTCTAAAAAACAGTGCCTTCACTCGCATATTTTTCTGGTGTCGTTATCTGCAGTCTGAAATCTAACAGAGAAATTGCGTTCACGGAATCAGTGCAACTCCCATGGTCTCCCAGGGACAAGAGTTGTCAGAGGTTTCTCTTCAGAGGAACAGATGCGTTTTGAATCAGTTTTGATACAACTCAGAACTTCTAACTTGCAGTATTAACTCTTTGTCCAGTCTTTGTTTTTTCAGTTTAATGATGCATGAAGCTCCTAATGCTTAAAAAGTATATATGGCATGTTTGTCAACAAATTTAAGGGTTTGAATATCTGAAAGTAGGTAAATACAGTGCTAGATGCTTTTTCATAGGAGTGGTTCTTAAGCAGATAGTTACCTAGGTCGAGGTCACATTGGCTCATCTTACACTACCACTGGAGAGGAAAGGAAGGCAAGACTTCTGCCTGTTTAGCAGATGTAGGTAGAAATACGTTGGTAATCAATTGCCTTGAAACCAGCATAGACAATAAATGGGGGTACTGGGTCTTGCAAGGATCATGTAACACCTGAATAACAATTTGTCTACTAGCAGCGGTGAGAAGGCTGCGATGGTTTTCTTTGTAGACATTGTAGTGGTCAGATTCTCAAGAAATGTCCGTCATCCTTCCAAAGTCACACAGTGTAATCAGTAAAACGCTATGCCAGAGGTAAAAAAGTGTTATGTTGAAGTCTTTCAAAG